ACCAATCTGTATAGAGGAAATGAAAAAAGAGGGTCTAGGAAAACAAACCAGGAAAATGCAAAGAAGAAAATTCCATGGAGCAAAGTTGGACCCAAGAAAGATAACTAAAATGTTGGAAAGCTCTTTTCTAAGTTGGTTCTATTTTGCAGAACAGAATAGCCTTGAGTCACAAAAAAAAGAGCAAAAAGAAAGCTGCATATAATTTTTTGTTTTAAATACTCAGTTTCCAAAGAGTGATATTGGTACACAAATTACTTTTTTTAATTTTTATTTTCTGAGACAGAGTTTCACTCTGTTGCCCAGGCTGGAGTGCAGTGGCGTGATCTCAGCACACTGCAACCTCTGCCTCCTGGCTTCAAATGATTCTCCTGCCTCGGCCTCCTGAGTAGCTGGGATTACAGGTGTGTGCCACCACACTCGGCTAATTTTTGTATTTTTACTAGAGACGGAGTTTCACTATGTTGGTCAGACTGGTCTCAAACTCCTGACCTCAAGTGATCCACCCGCCTCAGCCTTCCAAAGTGCTGGGATTACAGGTGTCAGCCACCGTGCCCAGCCACAAATAACCTTAAATTAAAATTCCTGTAATTATACCTTTTAGGCTAAATTCCTAGATTATGTAGAACATTATCTAAAGGGTAATCTAAAATTTCCTTTTGGTAGTATCAAGACTGAAGCATGGTAGCTCACATCTGCAATTCCAATACTTTGGGAGGCTGAAGTGGGAAGACTGCTTGAGCTTAAGAGTTCGAGACCAGCTTCAGCAACATGGTGAAACCCGTCTCTACCAAAAATACAAAAAGCTGGGCATACTGTGGTGTGAGTTTGTCATCCTGGCTACTCAGGAGGTGGTAGGTGCAGTGAGCCGAGATCGTGCCACTGCACTCCAGCCTGGGTTGAAACAAGACTCCATCTCAAGGAAAAAAAAAAAAAAAAAAAAAGCCAGTTCCTCCAAAAGATCAATCGTTACCTAGTCAGGAAACATTTTTTTTTTCTTCGAGGTGGAGTATCACTCTGTCACCCAGGCTGGAGAACAATGGCGCGATCTCGGCTTGCTGCAACCTCTGCTTCCCGGGTTCAAGTCATTCTCCTGCCTCAGCCTCCCAAGTAGCTGGGATTACAGACATGTGCCACCATACCCAGCTCATTTTTGCATTTTTAGTAAAGACGGGGTTTTGCCATGTTGGTCAGGCTAGTCTCAAACTCCTGACCTCAGATGATCCACCCGCCTTGGCCTCCCAAAGTGCTAGCATTACAGGTGTGAGCCACAATGCCGGGCCTCATATCCAGGAAACATTTTATCAAACGTCTCCAAAATTCAACTTTAGTATTTAAAAGCATGAAATCAAGAGACTAAGAAAAGGGATATCCATTGAGCATTTAGACAGTTATAACTCCATTTTGTATAGGTGAAAGGAAATCCTTGGTAACAGGAGCTTATGCCTTTTCCTATTTTTTTTCTGTAATAGATTCCCAAGTTGCTCTTCTGACCTCCAGCTTTCTCTTCACAAGTTCTCCTCCCTAGAACCTTCTTGCTTAGCAAGTCCTATTTAGAACTCCTGAAAAAGCAAAAAAACCCTGAATACTTTCTAGTCATTAAGTCATGTTTCCTAAACATAGTAAATGTTTATTTTCAACTAAAGTAGAAATGAGCCTCTTGGCACTCAATGGACATTGCCTAAGGGTGCGTTGCATGTATTACAGAATAGGCATGTTTGCTGCAAAACCCCTGTGTTAATAAAAGCAAAGCTTCAAAGACTAAAATGCAATGGGTAAAAAGAATACAATTAAGCTGATTAACTTATGCAGTTTCTTATGCTTGTTAAAGTACTTAATTGAACCTCTGAAAGCTGGCTAGATTATGATACTTACAGCTTAATGAGGTGATAACAAGGGAGTAGGAGGGCTCTCTTGTTTTCCACAGTATCCTGGGACTTCATCTAGTACTGAGGCTGCACACCACTGCTTTAACAAAGACTTGGATTTTTCCTTTAAGTATATGACACATTATAAAGAGGGGATTTTCAAAAACTGAAAGAAACTTTAAGAGACTGTGCAGCCTAATAATTTTTGGATTTTAACTGTGGAATAATTTAAAAGACATCTTATGCAGAAACTCAATAGTCAAAGCGGATAAAAGTAGATCTAATCTAGTTTAAGAGAGAAGTATGAGCCTTGCTTACTTGAGAAAAAGGTATTTCCCCTAAGAAGCTCCCCAAAGCAGCTCCACAAAACCCCAAGAGAGCAGTTATAAACCCATGGGTTTAGTTTGACTTTTTCTCATATTACAGATAAGGAAATGGAGGAAACCAAGGCCTCCAAAGGTTAAGTTTCTTATCCTAAGTAAAGGAGCTATTAGTAATGCTTATGAATAAGTGCATTGAGTTAGTAGTTAACACTAGTAATGGTGGGTGACTTACACAGGATTGAACCCTTGGTAAATCTACATCAACAAGAGTTCTTAATTAGCAACTATTTTCCTACACTGTCACATTGGTGGTCTACTTCATATCTATACTCAAAGACATCAACTACCTTTCCTAAATTCATGGCAGATAAATGACTTCAGATCTCTGTACTACATGTAATTAATGGAAGCCACACCTTTCTGCACATACTATTTCAATTATTATAAACTAATAGCGCCTTTGATTCTGTTCTTTACTCCAGGCCCTTGTATACAACTGGGTGATTCGAATTCAACTGTCCTGGTTTGAGAACATTTCTGACCAAGGGAACTTAGGAAAATAGTCGTGAGGAATTAAGCATGAAATATACAACACCACGTCCTGCCATGTGTCTGTATATCCAAAGAGCCCACTCCATTGAATAAACCTTTCTCACCTGGGAATTTGGCTGGAATGCAGCATGGGGTGTTGAGTGTTTCTGTAAATTTTCTAGCATTAGAGCCTGGTATAGAGAAGGGTAAAAGTCAGAAATGATGAGGAAAAAAAAAGAAAAACTCCCACCTCTACCACAACCTCTTAATTAAATGCAATGACTTAAATACACACAATTAAACTGTATTCCTCTTCCAGGGACCTGAAAACCCTTTACTGACACTGTTCTCATTCATCATCAGAAGACCCTTAAAGGTAGCCATGGTTACTGTTACTAAACGTACAGATATAAAATGCAGGCACACAGAATCAGTGACCTGGCTATGTCACAATATCAGTAATAGAACCAGTACCAAAATCCCTGTTGTCTTCTGCACTTGTGCCAAGTGCCCCTTCTAAATCTGATCATGCAGGTAAAACTACTTAAAAATACTCAAACCAGCAGCCATGGGGCTCCTGGTTTTTGCCTGACGGAATTACTTGGTCAAAGGGTTACCCAGGACTAGAGTCAATTTGTATAATTTCCAGTACAGTGGCACCTAGATTTACCAAATTTACAAAATTTTCAAAGAGGAGGCTACAGAAGAAAATGACCAGAGACCCTGTGAACTGTGGTCTAACCTAGTCCGTCCATCCACACACACACACACACACACACACACACACGCACACAATCAGCTTCTGTATAAGCAACGGTCTGCCAACTCAACCCTGGAGCCAACCCAGACCTAATCTGCACTACCTGCCACGTATCCTATTGAACTCTAATTAAAACCAAGACATCCTCATCTTCCCTTTTTTCATCCTCATCTTCCCTTCCCATCAAACCTATACACTGAATCGATCTACACCTACCTCCTCACGACATTCCCACCTTAATCTACTCAAACCGATTCAAAATCCCCAATATATATCAACCTGCCTCGCCTCTCTCACCAATATTCACCAAACTCTTAACTACCCAAATTGCCACTAGATGCCCCATAAATTAGACACCTCTCACCAAGTCCCTTCACATAAAGGTCTCTCTTCATCTCACCTCCTCATCTAATCGAGCAGACATTTTACCCTACCCCAATCCTATTCCTGCAGATACCGATACCAACCCCATCCACCCCTCCGCGCAACTATACCCCTAACTCCGACCCAGCCCAACTCGCCCCCCTCAGGCCAGCAACGCCGTAGGTTGTAGTGGGATTTAACTCCTTCTGCAGCGCATGCGCCGAAACCACAGATACAAACAAGGAGGGGGTGGGGGAAGGAGGAAGGAGCTTAAGACACTCCTGGAGAGTAGTGCACACCCTCCCATTTGGGCTCGCGCTGCTGCCGTTAAGGCGGGAACCGGCGCGATCGCCATTCCAGCGCGAACCTCACCAACCACCGTGCGCGCGGATCCAGAGGCTCGCGCTGGCGGCCTGAGCGAGCTCGCGCCGAGCCCGGATACTGCGCCTGCGCCGCGGCAGAGGCTCGTCTCTACCGGGTCCGCTCTCCTCCGACACCCCAGCAACGCCGACTCCTCACCCCTTTGAGCCGCTTGACCAGGGCACTCTTCTGCCCGCTCTTGGCTAGGCCTCGCTGCTCCAGTGCGGCCTTCAGGTCGGTCACCCGCAGCGCCTGAAGAGGCTTCCCGTCCAGAGTCACCTCCTCCAGCTCCGCCATCTTGCGTGAGGTACTCGGGTCCGTCCCGACGGCTTCGGGCATCTTCGGTAATTTCCGCCAACGCCCTTCGAACGTACCGAGATGACCCCGCCCACTGCCATACTCTACCCGTCGATTACCACTCAGAACTCCCCGGCTTCCTCCGGATGTCCTCGGATATTTCCGTCTCCACATCGGCACCAATCAATTCTTTCCATCCGCCCTGCAGCTCCCCTATTCTCGCCCTGCTTTCAGGCTCGGTTTTCTTCGTCTTGCCGAAGCTTTGAATCGAATATATTCGGAAGCCCTCGACTCTGGTATAACCGTAATCGGAGATGTTCGTTTATCTCCGGACCTAGAGATGAGGCGCTGAGGCGCTTGGGTGTTTGGGGCGGGTCCGAGGCCGGAAGTGCGTGGGCTGCCGGGCTGGCCCAGCTTAGGGTTTTCAGGAAATTTGGAAGCTGCAGCGGTAGTTGGAGTCTAAGGACTCCTGACAGTCTTCGGGTGCCCTCCGAGAGAAAAGGGGAGGTAAGCGGGGTGGAAGTACCTCTATGGGCCGGGTCAGACTCGGTGTTTGCGGACTATCCTAATAGGGCAAGCCACCTACTCCTTAACGCAAACAGCTTCTGCCCTCTGTCCTCTGAATCCCAGCCACTCCCATCTTAGGCTTTTTTTTTGGTGGGGCCTGTGGAGGGGGGCGGAATCGGAATAACAAGCTCCGTGGCCTCCAAAGTGGGGAAGAGGCAGGCAGCACCGTGTCTTCGGACCCAGACTATGAACTGATTTATGACGCTCAACTTGAGTTTTGAGTTTGCGTTTGCCTTGGAAGCCGTGTGGCAAGATTCTGGGAAAATTCTCCGTTTCTCCGAAGAAGAGAGTAAGTTCCCTTGGAGGAACTGCTTCCTGTAGGGCAAGAACTGAAAAATGCAAGCGCCCTGAACCTTTTTGGTACTTGAACTCTCATTGTTTAGGGGCTTCTTTCTTTGTCACTAGCAATCCTCCAACTTGATGCAGAAGAAACACAAACAGTAAAATAGGTCACAGACAAATAGTTTAGAGATTTAAGAGATATGTTAGAGATTTAAGAGACTGAAAACTAGGGCCGGGCGCGGTGGCTCAAGCCTGTAATCCCAGCACTTTGGGAGGCCAAGACGGGCGGATCACGAGGTCAGGAGATCGAGACCATCCTGGCTAACACAGTGAAACCCCGTCTCTACTAAAAAACACACACAAAAAAACTAGCCGGGCGAGGTGGCGGGCGCCTGTAGTCCCCGCTACTCGGGAGGCTGAGGCAGGAGAATGGCGTGAACCCGGGAGGCGGAGCTTGCAGTGAGCTGAGATCCAGCCACTGCACTCCAGCCCGGGCGACAGAGCAAGACTCCGTCTCAAAAAAAAAAAAAAAAAAAAGAGACTGAAAACTATTGAAGTCAAATAGGCTGATCTTTCCGTTGCATTCGTGATGCAAAATTAATGTCAAGGCGCCGGGCGCGGTGGCTCACGCCTATAAGCACTTTGGGAGGCCGAGGCAGGCGGATCACTTGAGGTCAGGAGTTGGAGACCAATCTGGCCAATATGGTGAAACCTGGTCTCTAGTAAAAATACAAACAAATTAGCCGGGTGTATGCCTATATTCCCAGCTGCTCGGGAGGCTGAGGCAGGAGAATCGCTTGAACCCGGGAAGCGGAGGTTGAAGTGAGCTGAGATCACGCCATTGCACGCCAGCCTGGGCGACAGAGCAAGACTCCGTCTCGAAAATAAATAAATAAATAAATAAAAAATAAATAAATAGCAAGGCACCAATAGATGCCATACTAAAAAAAAAAAAATTTTTTTTTTGTCACTCCACTCTGGGTCACTCCACCCTGAACCAGGCTAGAGTGCAGTGGTGCGATCAGGGCTTACTGCAGCCTCAACCTCCCGGGCTCAGGTGATCCTCCTACCTCAGCCTCCTAAGTAGCTAGGACTACAGTTAGGCACCTCTACGCCCAACGAGTTTTAAAATTTTTTTGTAGAGATGAGGTTTTGCCATGTTGCCCAGGCTGGTCTTGAACAACTGGATTCAAGCTATCCTCTTGCCTCGGCCTCCCAAAGTGCTGAGATTACTTTGTAAGTGCAAGAGCCACTGTGTCTGACCCATACTAAATATTAAGGGCAATTGTTTAAAAACATGGATTGTCATGAAGTAGTGTAACAGTTGTTAGATCTCTAAGCCAACAAACCAACCTGACTCTTTTTAAAAAAGTCTCAAACACCCGGGCTTCTGGTTCTTTTACTGCGTTACCTTATTTTGAGCAAGGCCCTTACTCTGCTCTTTAACTTTTCCTGGTGCTTTACAGGAAATGTAAGGAGGTAACAAATGTTATGAAGTTCTTGGCATATTTCAGAGGCTAATATGCACATTGAAGCCTCTTTCATCATAAATAATTTTTTTTCTTTCTTCCCCCACTGTTGATAGCTACAAAACAACTAGCATCAGCCTTGACCAGCTGCACGTACTAGATTTTAAAATGTATGCTTTTTCGTTTTGGAGAAGATGTGATGGACCAACGTTAATCATTGCTTTTTTCTTTACCCAGCCTGGCACATAGAAGTAAGAGGGAGAGAGTGAACAAGAAATATATTGGTTATTTTTAGGTTTTTTATAAGAAAGATGGAGGGTGACAGTGGGTAGGGAAGAATGGGTTTGAAAAAGGCAGGCAAATAGGAAACGAAGTTATTTTTGGTGACTTCTCTAAGGTAGTTGGATAATCTAAATAAAAGACTTTATTAATTTTGGGTCTTTGAATTCATAAAAAGTAATTTTCTCTGTAGATGCTAATTGAGTGTGGTAAGATGTCTTGTTGCTTGAAAGTTGTATTTTCGTTGCTCTACCTGGAGAGCGTATAACAGTGCTTTTGTGTTTCAGGATGCCACTGGAGTCATCCTCTTCAATGCCGCTATCCTTCCCATCTCTCTTACCCTCAGTACCACACAATACTAACCCTTCCCCTCCTCCGATGTCTTACATCACCTCCCAGGAGATGAAGTGTATTCTTCACTGGTTTGCCAATTGGTCAGGTCCCCAGCGTGAACGTTTCCTAGAGGACCTGGTAGCTAAGGCAGTGCCAGAAAAATTACAGCCATTGCTGGATAGTCTGGAGCAGCTTAGTGTGTCTGGGGCAGACCGACCACCTTCTATCTTTGAGTGCCAGCTACATCTTTGGGATCAGTGGTTTCGAGGCTGGGCTGAGCAGGAGCGCAATGAATTTGTCAGACAGCTGGAGTTCAGTGAGCCAGACTTCGTGGCAAAGTTTTACCAAGCAGTGGCTGCTACAGCTGGTAAGGACTGATAGGCATTCAGACCAAAGAAGATAACCATAGCTGATGGAGCCAAGGCCATGACTCTCTACAATGATAATTCAAATGTGTCATCTAAAGCTCTGGAACTGGTATTCGGACCAGCTGACTGAACTCACTGACCAGTATAGGCATGGTTATTTCAACAGTAATAGCATGTCAACTGGACTCCTATTTGTAAATATTATCAATCTAAGCAATCCCGCTTATCAGTCTACTAGTTTGCTTCTTTCCAAGAGATGTCAAATGCTCAAGAATTTGATGGCTTCTTCTGCAGCTATAACCAAAAAGAACCTACACATTATAACTCAGGCCCACTGCTGGCTCATGAAGTGTGTAAAGTAGAACCCTCCTTCCCCAGAAATAAGACAGGACAATAAAAGGTGGCATTTTTATAATTTACCTGGATTCCATTGGCTGGTTTTACCACTCCTATCAGATTCTAGTGTAATTGTGTGATACCCAAACCATTAGTTTTCCCAGTGATGATTTAATAAAATTATGAAAAATCAGGAGAGGGAGATAATTAGTTGCTTCTTTCTCCACACTGAATCCAAATCACAATGACTTTTTTTTTTTTTTTAAAGAGATGAGTTGTCGCTCAAGTTTGGAGTGCAGTGGCATGATCACCAGTGAGTGTGAGATCACTGTAGCCTCAAATTCTAGGCTCAAGTAATCTTTCTGCCTCAGTCTCCTGAGTACTTAGGACTACAGCCACGCACCACAATATTTTTAAGTTATTTTGTAGATATGGGGGTCTTGCTACGTTTTCTAGTCTGGTCTTGAATTGCTGGCCTCAAGCAATCCATTCTCCCCTTGGCCTCCCAAAATGCTGGGATTACAGGCATGAACCATCATACCTGGCCTTTTTCTAAGGCATATGCATGTATACTCTTGGAACTGGTAGCAGGTGTTCCTATTCTGTAAGCTTGCTTCATAACCATATTAAAACAGGTGACAATTCACAGGTTGAACAGTTTATTTTTGTACCAAAATAAAGAATGGATCTTTAAAACTGTAAAACTTCACCCTTTTTTTCTTTGCCAGGCTATATAAAATTGATGTCCGGGGAAAGGCATTCCAAAGAAAGTAGAACTTAAGTATACACAATAGATTTTCCATCCAGTTGTCTCCCAAGAAATGATTCTCTTCCTTACACCCTGTCATGTTCTGGGCAACATCACACTTCCCTTATTCCTCTAACTGGGACCCTTGTGCCGTGGAGCTCTGGTGAATGGTAAGAGGGAGATGGTCTCACAGGAAGAGTGGCTCTTTTCTGGTAGGCTGTGGTTCCCAGTACACCCACAAAGATTAGCAGCATTAGGCAGAGTCCCACGGACAGCCTTAGGTGGGTCATGGAGGGATTATGGTCCGAAGTAACCAGCAACCTAGGAACATAGAAGGTAATATTTGGCTTGGAATAATGCCTAGGTTTAGTAGATAAAGGGGCATTACCTTTTGTGTTTTTTTTTTTTTTTTTTTTGAGACAATTTCTTGGTCTGTTGCCCAGGCTGGAGTGCAGTGGTGTGATCTTGGCTCACCGTAACCTCCGCCTCCCAGGCTCAAGCGATTCTCCTACCTCAACCTTCCAAGTAGCTGGGACTACAGGCGCATGCCGGGCCACCACATCTGGCTAAGGGGCTTTTCCCTTAGAGCTCATGAAACCTCACCTCATCCAAGCATTAGGCTAAACAGGAAATCATTAAGAGGGACTACAGAACATGAAAGTCGAAATAAGGTCAAGATCTAAGTCTTCTAGCATCTTAAATTATTGGAAGAAGAGCTAACTTGGCGGCGAGGGAAGTGGCTTAGGGGAAGAGTCAGTCTATGGTCTTTAGGTAGCTAGGCACAATGCCTAACAGTGCTTAAGAAAGGAAGGGGGCCAGGAGTGGTGGCAGTAGCTCCCAGCACTTTGGGAGGCAGAGGCGGATGGGTTGCTTTAGCTCAGGAGTTCGAGACAAGCCTGGGCAACATGGTGAAACTGTTTCTACCAAAAATACAAAAATTAGCTGGCATGGTGGTGTGCACCTGTAGTCCCAGCTACTTGGGAGGCTGAGGTGGGGGAATCACTTGAGCCTAGGGAGGTTGAGGCCACAGTGAGCTGAGATCACCCCACTGCATTTCAACCTGGGTGACAGAGTGAGACCCTGTCTCAAAAAAAGAAAAAAAAAAAAAAAGGCGGGGGGAGGGGAACTAAGATCCCTATGTCCTAGAGATGGGGGAATGTGTTATTGTATGGGAAAAGGGAGCCAGGTAGTGACATGACTGGATGATCGTGTTAGTTAGGGATCTTTGTTCTCTGAAATGCAATCCTGTCTAGGACAATATACACATGAGTGAGTGCTTAATAAATTTAATTTCAAACATCTGGACTCCATGGATTTGAAAGAAAAGTACTTGGAATATTATCTTACTTGCTGGGTTGTGTGGTAAAGTTGGCTCCTCCATGATACACTTCTAGGGGTTTTTTCTGGAGAGTCAGAGTCAGGGCCCTGTGCAGCATAGCCACCGAAGGCCCTTGGCAGCCAGGAGACTTCCACATATGCACAGTAAACACCAAGCTAGTGGTAATTGATGGGCTGTGGAAATAGCACCTAAATGGACATTCGAATATTTTAATAGAGGTATAGTTCCTGGCAGAGTATATGTCATGAAACAGGTGCAGGCTTAAGAGTGGGATGAACAAAAGGTCTTCAGAGGAGAGTCATCAAGTAAAGGACTTAGGGATTCTCCTTGACCCATTGTATAAATACTCAAGCTTTTACCTGCCAGTGCCACCTCTGCTCGCCAAAGCCTGCAGTACTGCTTCAGCCAGCCCTTCTTGCTGTTCTTTCCCCAGAGAGTGGCCTGGAGGCCCAGCTAATCCTAAAGAGAGCTGGAATAGTGGATCTGGGGTTGAAAGACTCACAGGTGGGGAAGTAACAGCACTGATATCTTCATTAGTCTGACACAGCCGACCCCGGGGACAGAAGAGAAGACCATAGTACCCAGGTATCTGCAAGGAAATATGTAGCAGGATATGGTTTTGCTTTGATTATCTGTTCAAGTCGTCTAAGGAAAATGTATTCTAGGTCAGAGTCATGGACTCAGTGGGTACTTAGGAAAACTGTATGTACAGCAAAACAGGTTGGACAGTACCACCATACAAGTATTTCCCAACTTCTTTTTGCCAGTATGCTGCAACTATTCCTCTTGTGGTACCCACCTGTATAACTTTTCCTGGAAGGCATGGGACCCAAGGTGAGCCCTCCACCTGCACCTTATAAGCTCCCCTCCCTGTGCACTGATGTAAGTAGCAGCGGCCCACCAGCTCTGCTTCCTTGAGGTGTGGGGTAAGAGAAGGATGCCTGGTCTTATCGCCAGGGAGCAGCTGTGAAGTGAGGTTGGCAAAGAAGCAACGGCTCCGGGAATGGTAGATTTCCCCATGGGGATTCTCCACCCCAGCAGGAAATCCATTTTCCTTCTTCCAGCATTCACTCTGAAGGGCAGGCCAGAAGGTAGAATAGTGTTTGTTCTGATGCCTTTGAAGTTGACTCCCTTCCAGAACCACTCAGTTTCATTGTCTGCTCTCTTGTCTACTCACCCCATTGGCTAAGGGCTTGTACATGCGGCAGCCTTCCAGCATGGGGTCTGAGGAGCAGCTTCCCTTGTCCAGATGCAGGTAGTGGCAGCCCAGCCCACTGTGTGGAATGGATGATAGAGTGACACTAGGATCATTGACCACCGTACGGTCCCCTAACCACTCAGCACACACACCTGCCAGTACAGAAGAAGTCTGAGGAGCCAGTCCCACATGTGGTCACCAAGCCAAATTCTGGGCCAGATCCTGTTTGAGAGATGAGAAGAGAAGGAAAGAGAGCCCTCAACACATGAAGCCCAAACATCCTTCCGCACCAGGTATCCTCATAGCTTCTATTATACATCAGCAACAGAAACCCCTCCAGCCTCCCACTTCCCCCAGAGCTGACTTGGGTCGTGAGTGCCTCTCTGCAGGTCTGCCTTATTTCTCACCCTGGCCCCACAACAGCTCCTCTGCAGCGCTGTGGTTGACCTGGTACCAGCCTGAGTCTTCAAAGGCAGCGAGGGTGATTGGGTCGAGTCGAGTGCGCTGGGCTCCATCAAAGGTAGCAGTCATTAAAGAACCCTGGAGTAGTCTGGCCTCCCAGTGTGAGGACAAAAGGCCCTCCTGGAGGAGGTGGCAGATGGCTGGTTGTTACCTGGCTACTCCTTTCTTCCATTACCCCAAGGTGTTCTCATTCTCACCTCTTCTTCCAAGGGAACACCCAGTGAAGCCCCCGGCACTCCCAAGTGTTTGGCCAGGCTGAGGCTAACAGCTGGGGTGGTGAGAAGCAGTTGTCCCCACTCATCTTGCCTTGTCACTTGTTGCCTTGTAGAACAGTTCTCTCTAACTGAGTGCACAAAGGGAAGAAGGCAATACGAGGAGAGGAAAACTTAGGAAGGGTGAAGTGAAATTAGAAGGAAGGAGGTTATGAGATATTGAATTCCCTCTGGTTGATCGTGGGAAGTCCTTAACCTCATTCCTCTCATTTACCGCTGAATCCTGAGGGGCAGTCTTGCCATTTCTTGAAGAGCTGTTTGGAGAAACCTAAGGCATGTAGCAATTCATGTAGTGTGGCCTAAGGACAAATGACAGCCCAGTAAGGGGGCCAAATTCGCAGCAGGATTGACCAAACACTCTATACCCCTCTGCCCAATCAGTTCTTCCTAGAGCTTGAGGCACCTTCTATTCCATCCTCTGTGGGTTCTTTGACTTTATGGGAAACTGAGTAACCTGGCCCCCTACCCTGCAACCTGTTTGCTTCTCCCTATTCATCATGCAGCAGTCACCATGACGATGTCGCTGTGGCTGAGGCTGGGGCTGGTGAGATGTTGGGCACAGTAGACAATGGTGCCGGCGAGGGGCCTGTCTTCTGAGTCCAACTGGCAGCAGGCAGCATACGCTATGACAGAGGGCTGTGGATGGGCCAGGACAGGGTAGGGCCGGAAAGAAGAAAAGTAGGATATCACAAATAAAAGAAATCCTCTGAAAATGGAGGACCAGGGGACTCTGCAAAACTCTGCAGGAGTGGTATTGAGGGATGGCTATGGGTGGGGGTAGCCTTTACCCAAACGTTACTAACATTCTCTAAGTTATCCCAAATAAGCACAACTTAATAAAAACTGCTTTTGGCTGGGCGTGGTGGCTCACGCCTGTAATCTTGACACTTTGGGAAGCCAAAGCGGGCAGATTGCTTGAGCCCAACAGTTTGAGACACAGCCTGGGCAACATGACAAAACCCCGTCTCTACAAAAAAATACAAAAAATTAGCCGGACGTGGTGGTGCACGCCTGTAATCCTAGCTACTCAGGAGGCTGAGATGGGAGGATCACCTGAGCCCAGGAGGTCAAGGCTGCAGTGAGCTGTGATTGGGCCACTGTACTCCAGCCTCGGCAACAGAGTGAGACTCTGTCTCAAAACAAAAGCAAAGCAAAACAAAACAAAACAAAAAAC